CTCCACCACTTACCTTGGGCACCTTAGGTAACCCTTCTGAACATCTGTGAAATGATGGTAAAAATAGTACCCGCCTCATCAGGCACTTGTGAGGATTAAATGAGTTAATCATCAAAAGCAGTTAGAATGCTGCCTGATCCCCAGGAAATGCTAAAGCGGTTATTCATTGCCTCTGATAAACAGTTTGAAGGTTTGTGCTGGGGAGCCAGCCCCGTGGCCTAGTGGTTAAGTTCAGTGTGTTCTGCTTCAGCAGCCTGGGTTTTGTTCCTGGACATGGACCTATACCACACGTTGGCAGCCATACTGTGGTGGTGACCCACATACAAAATAGAGGAAGATTGGCACAGATGTTAGCTCAGGGCATATCTTCCTCAGCAAAAAAAAAAAAGTTTGTGCTGTTATTTTGTGCCTTAAAGAATCACTAAATAATTTTTAACCTACAGTAGTTCCTTTTCATTTTTCAGAGAAACAGTGCCTGTTATCTGATTAGAAAGGAATTCTAGGGGCCAGCCCTGTGGCACAGCGGTTAAGTGCGCATGTTCCGCTTCAGCAGCCCGGGGTTCGCCAGTTCGGATCCAGGGTGCAGACATGGCACCACTTGGCATGCCATGCTGTGGTAGGCGTCCCACATATAAAGCAGAGGAAGATGGGCACAGATGTTAGCTCAGGACCAGGCTTCCTCAGCAAAAAGAGGAGGATTGGCAGCAGTTAGCTCAGGGCTAATCTTCCTCAAAAAAAAAATAAAGAAAGAAAAAAAAAAAGAAAGGAATTCTATTACCTTAGAAGTAATTTAACCATTAGCATCTCCAGTAGCTTTAAATTGTGGGTAATAACCTGAGTCTATTTATGAGAGTGACAATCCTCAACCTCCGTTGGGCATTTACGGCTCCATCTGGCCTTGGATATTTGCTTTTCCCTCCTAGTGTAAGCAAGAAAAACCAATCAAAAAGAATATCAATCATTCTCTTTTGGTTTGTTTCTCACTTGATGGTCTTCCATTTGTTTTTGTTTTTTTGTCTTTATTTTTTTTTTAAAGATTGGCACCTGAGCTAACAAATTTGCCAATCTTTGTTTTTTTCCCTTCTTTTTCTCCCCAAAGCACCCCCAGTACATAGTTGTATATTCTAGTTGTGAGTGCCTCTGGTTGTGCTGTGTGGGACGCTGCCTCAGTATGGCCTGATGAGCAATGCCATGTTCGTGCTCAGGATCCGAACTGGCGAAACCCCGGGCCACTGAAGCAGAGTGCACGAACTTAACCACTCAGCCACGGGGCCCGCCCCAGATGGTCTTCCATTTGTTGATCGCTGATTATTTCTTTATACACCCTCTACTTTCAGTGACTACAGTGTTCAAAAAAATTATTATAGCATTGGTTTCATTTCATATTATTAAAAACTTAGAAACTGGTCGCCTAAATACTTAATTGATGATTATTTGTTATTATTAGCAGTTTTAAGAAATTCACAGATCCATTTTCATAATTACCATTTTATTTTTTTAGCGTGCTTACTTTAAAGGCAAAAGTGTAATGAAATAGCCTTCCTCCCTGACAGTGGAACATTTTACAGTAAGTGGCTACTTTATTGCTCTTTCAACCAAAGAAAACATTGTCTTCCTATTTACTTACGAGGATTCTGCTCCTTCTCGTAAAGTAGAAACATAATGAGCACACAGTCAAAGCTTGATGCCCGTGAAATCATTTTCTCCTTAGTTACCGTCAAATAGAGTCCTTTCTGCTCATGCATGCCCGTGCCCATCACCGCCCACAGGCGGTCACTGGTGTTCCGTATGCCGGCAGCACCCGGACACACCGGGATACTGAATGGTGAGCGTGTGCAGCCCCGTAACCAAGGAGCTCAGAGAGGCCACCAGGAGGCGAGGGGCCGAATCACAGTTGCGCTAGCTTCCGGGACATTGCTTCCAAAGATGCCAAACGTTGTGAGGGGTTAACGGCCCCCACAACATCCACCTCACTGATTCTCACAAACACCCTAAAACTGGCTGTCACCTTGCCGCACAGCTCAAGGGGGCTCTATTTACGTAACTATGCTGCCCCGCAGCTCTACGAACTTCCTCTCATCCTGGCTGGCTTTTGTAGAGACCAAAAAAAAAAAAAAAAAAGTGAATGCAATTAACTAAAAACCCTCCAAGTACTAGCATTTTCTCCAGATTAGAAAAGCTGATAAAGAAAGCTCAGGCAAGCCTCAGGGACGCGGCTCTGCTTTAAAAAATGCTGTTGGTTTGAAGCTTTAGCATCTCTGAAGAAACTTGGCTTTTTTAAAAGAACTTTGCATCTGTTAATCATGGCCACGGAGGATCATAAGGTCTGGAATAGCAAAGGATGTCACCATCACAGCGTAAAGTCCTGGGCAGCAGCGATATGGCCTGGATTTCTGGTAATTAAATAAACGTATAACTAATATGATTGATTTCAAACCTGTGCAAGACCGACCATATAGGTGCATTTCTATAGAAGGAAAAAGTCTTCGGTAAGATCATGTCCGTTTTTGGTATGGGAAAAAGTGGTTATCATAAGCATTTATCTAACTGATTCTGTTTGCACTTTTTAAAAAACATGAATCTATTGAGTTCATTCATCTCACAAAGGTTGTCTAGGCCTTTAGTTACTGAATGAAAATGGAAAAAGCAATATTTTTGCAAAACTGAATGGACATTAACAACAATTCGTTCTTTGAGAATACTCACATATTGAAGATTGAAATCACACTCAAAAATGAATCAAGAAAAGCTATGGAAGCTTCAGTTACACATAAAGGAAACTGAAATCCCATTTTATAGATTTTTTTTTTTGAGAAAGATTAGCCCTGAGCTAATATCTGCTCCCAATCCTCCTCTCTTTGCTGAGGAAGACTGGCCCTGAGCTGACATCCGTGCCCATCTTCCTCTACTTTACATGTGGGGCATCTACCACAGCATGGCTTGCCAAGTGGTGCCATGTCTGCATCCGGGATCTGAACTGGCGAAGCCCGGGCTGCCAAAGCAGAACGTGCAAACTTAACCGCTGCGCCACCGGGCCGGCCCCTATAGATTTCTTTAAAGGAAGTATACAGCTCAGTCAGGTCCTACTAGCCTCTCGAATACACACGAATGCCAGGAGAAGCTGGTAGAAAAAGTCAAAGCTCTTTGTCCTTCACCTTGGAGCCACTACAAACCCCCAGTCCCTGGACGGGTGTGCCCAGGACACCTTTAGTCTGGGCGTTTCTTTAAAACCCATATGCATTTTCCTTGAATCATTTACAATGATCTCTTATTTGAAAAGAAAAAGTCCAAAATGTATGCCCACCCGACAACACTTCTCCAACAGCATCAAGCCAAATTGTTTAATTTGCTAGAGGTTTGAGTGAATTACAGTTTTATATGTACTATTTAATATCTAGTAGTGAAAGTTCAAGTAGACAAACTAATCTTTCTTTCTTCCTTTCCTTCCCTCCCCTCCCCTCCCCTTTCCTTCTTTCCTTCCTTCCTTCCTTCCTTCCTTCCCTCCTTCCTTCCTTTCTTTCTTTCTTTTCATGAGGAAGATTGCCCCTGAACTAATATCTGTTGCCAATCTTCTTCTTTTTGCTTGAGGAAGACTGTCACTGAGCCAACATCTGTGCCAATCTTCCTCTATTTTACTGTGGATGCCACCACAGCATTGCTGGATGAGCGCTGTGTAGGTCCACATTCGGGATCCCAACCAGGGAACCCCAGGCCACTGCAGCAGAGTGCGAGAACTTAACCACTATGCCACCAGGCTGGCCCCCAAACTAATTTCTTAACACCATGCTATCTTTCCCCATAAAATATGACTGAAATGTACTACTTAACAAAACACACACAAACTCCATACTTCCCTTCCACCCCCAAATCCAAAAGAATTGAAAGGAAATTGAGTAACCATTTACCTAGAAATAAATAAATATGAAGTCTGCACTTTGTTTAAAAAGGTCATAGAGTGACGGTTTCCCAGCCTTCTCCTCCTCAAGGGCTCACATCTGCCTTCTTAAGATTCCTCCAGAGACACTGTATGTGTGTGTGTATTTATGTAATCACACATATTTATGTAAAATGTTATTTTCAACTAGGAATTCCTGAAACGTTTATATTGTTGCATTTGTAACTCATAAGCTGCTCTAATTGTATGAAATGTCTTAAAAATCGTAGTGATTGTTTATAAACGTCCTAATTTCCTTTCTCTAAGGCACCTCATTTCATTAAATGCACTCAGTAGTCTAACTCACATATCATAGCAGCTTTGCCAGCCCTAAAGTGCTGCCCCAGTTTCAGAATTTTCTTTAGTTATTTCCTGATTCCAAGCACTTAAGATTCCTCTGTAATTCTGATGTAGATATCACCAGGATTCAAAATAGACAAGAAAAATGCTAAAGACATTCCCTCCCTAATTAAAATGGTCCTTTCCCCAGCAGATTCTTTGCTTCCTCCAGTTCTGCCGGATGGCTGAGAGCTCGTCTACGACACGTCTGTTCCAGATTGCCAGCAGCGAGTTTTCTGCGTTGTGAATGTGCTCCCAGCAGCTCTGGAGAACCGGTTCATCTCTCGGCAGTGACACTCGGTACCGTCCGAGTGTGCAGAGAGCCACGGCAGGCAGTCAGGCTGGAGCAGCGGGAAAAGGCTGGAAAGTGGACTCAGAGGAAGGAGTGATTCAGACGCCAGCCAGAAGAACTCAGGTTTTTTTTGTTTTGTTTGTTTTAAAGGTTGCTAATCAACTGACTTTATTTTCTTTTCTACTGTTTTTATGGAGGTCACATTGGTTGTAACATTATATAAATGTCAGGCGTACATCATTGTATTTTGGCTTCTGTAGACACTGCATCGTCCTCACCACAAATAATGTAGTTTTTACCCACCACCACACACATGTGCCCTTTACCCCTTTCGCCCTCTCCCCGCCCCCTTCCTTTCTGGTAACCACCAATCTGTTCTTCTCAGCCGTGTGTTTATCTTCCACATAGGAGTGAAATCGTACGGTATTTGTCTTTCTCTGTCTGACTGATTTTCCTTAGCATAACACCCTCAAGGTCCACCCATGTTGTCAGAAATGGCACGATTTTGTCTTTTTTTATGGCTGAGTAGAACTCAGGGTTAACATTCCGGTTGACAGGGAGCTACTGAAGGTTTCTGAGCAAGGAAACCTCGGAGAAGTGGTGAAATTGGTGAAATCATACTCTAAAAATATCTTCCTGCTCTGGATTGGAGAGCTATTGAGTGACAGGTCCTGGAATTAAAACGGCCAATTCAGAGGCTGCTAGGATAATTGCGATTTGAGGTGATGGAGTTCTGGGCTTCCATGGCAGCATAAAAACATGGACATTTTGAGAAACAGATATGACTTGGTGACTAGGAGAACAGGGAGAATAGGGGGAGAAATGAGCCAATGGTGACACCACGAGTCTGAGCACGACCCAGGAGGGGAGCACCACAGGTGACCTGAAGTCAGAGAGAGGGCATCGGACTTTCATAAGCAAGATGGCAAACCTGGCCCTAGACAGGCCAAATGGAGCTAAAAAGTTCAGCAGAAAGTTGAAGCTATGTAACTAGGGCACAAGTCAAAGGGTAGAATTGGAGATTATGTATATACAAGTTTTTATTGTGGAATATTTCAGATACATCAAATGTAGACTCCAGAGTAATAAACGACCGTGTGCCCATCACCTGGCTTCAGTCATGATCAACTCTCGGCCAGCCTTGTTTCACCCAGACTCCCCACTCGGCATTATTCTGGAACAAATTCCAAACATGGAGGGAGGGATTTAAAGGTTCGAAGCACAGAAACTGTAGATTTGGGAAGATCTCAGAGAAGCTGAAAGCAAACCTTATCTTACAGACAAGCAAAGGTAAAGATCAGAGACAGGAATACACTTCCCCTCGTTCAAAACAGTTGGTGGAGGTATAACAGGAACCCAGGTATTCGCAAACAGCTTTGCATCTTTCTGAGATGAAATGAGAAAAATAAGGATGCCATGCAAATTGTTCAGAAAGCTGAAATTCAAATATTAAAATTACTGTCTGTAAATATTTTACAAGTTACTATTGGTAAACATATTTAAAAAGTAAACATTTGTCTTGTGTTTACCCTATTCGTAATTCTGTCAAGTACAGCACACAGGTCATACATTGTCAAATAGGTCCTCACAGTAACAGCAGAACAAGAGACCTGTGTCGACTTAATCACCCCTGGTTGGTTTTCAGTGTGGCCGCAGAGCATCCAGGGTCACCCTAAGTGTGCCCTGGGGACAACAAGAGTCCTATCTACCCAGAGTCAGTTTACTTGCGGCTGCCAGGAAAGTCACCTTGAATGACACGTCCCCTCTTGGACCCCACCCACCTACATTCATGGTGCAAACTCCGTGTTGATTGTGGCAAGGGGAAAACATAACGGTGCACAAAGAGGTGTGCTGATAACAATTCCACAGAAGGGCACGACGTGAAGAACAGTGAGCCCGCCCAAAGAGAATGGCATCGCTTCATCAGAAAATACGACAGTCCGTGGCTCCAGCTCAGACTTATTAAAGTAAATCAATCAGTGTGAGTCATGGTTTAAAGACGTGGCAGTGTTCTTTACAAAGAGGTTATGAAACCACAGAACAACTTCAGCTTTGTGGAAAAAAAAATCTGATTTTAAAAATATGCGTGGTGTTAGAAATACGAATACAATGGCATGGAAAGTATTTATAAAATGGGGTTGCCTATTGCAGACTCTAAAAGCCACTTACATTTCAGGCATTAAGGTGTTTGACGTACATATAAAAGATGTTTGCTTCCCTCTGGTACTAAAACAATTAAGTTGATTCTGCACCTCTGTCACAGGACACAGTTACTGGAGGGGTGAGACAGCTGTGTGGGACCATATACGACTCGTTACTTCAGGTAAGTAAAATTCCAAACTGTATGACAGTTTTTCACAAGAAGCTATTATTGCAAATGTTATAATATCGTCCATCGGTGTACGGGTGCCCTCTCTCCTGTCTTGAGAAGAACTGGCCCTCATTCAGAGAGTGTGTCCTCCCTTCTCGTTCTCTATTACACGTTCTTTCTTTCATGAAACGACGGATGGCAGCTTTTTAAAAATAACATCCTTAATTGCGGAAAAAAAATATTAGAACACTGAGACCAATTTTTTTTTTTAAAAGTTTAAACTTTTAGTCTGTAAAACGCATTGAGGAAACCGCAGCAGTGCAGTACCCACAAGGGGAGAGATGCGAGAGCAGGAAGATGCGGCCCGGGGAAGGGTCTCAGGGAATGAGGAGGCCAATGGTCGCGTTTTAGAGAAGTGGGAAGACTGTGTGGACGGATCGGGCAGGGCGCCGGCTGCCTGCTACCCCACTGGCTGCCCCACGCATGCACTTGCCTTTCATGCTCAGGAGCCTGGGAGCCACGGGCTCCGCCCGGCCCACGTCCCACTCGCCTGCTGCCTCAAGGATGCGCTGCTGAAGGCTCCAGTGCGAGCTGGCGGGACGTGCGGTGTGAGGTTAACGCAGACGGCTGAAGTGTGAGGGCCTTGACGGGGAGAGAAGGCAGATGCTGGGGACGGAGCTGAGCCGGCAGCTTGCATTGGAGCCCCGTGTTATCTACGTCTATTTCAACAGTCTCCTATAAAGGCTGATTCGCAAAGCTACTTTATTTTTACGGCCATACTGCTTTTGTTTATACACGAGTTCGAGTCTAGTGAAAAAGTGCCCCTTCTCTAGATTCTTACAACACTTCAAGGCACTTACTGCACGGGAAGCACGGTGCACCTGCTGTGGGGGCCGCCTCAGCGCCCCTCTGCTCCAGCATCTGGCCCTTCCCAGCTGCCTCCTCATCCCGCTCCCTTGAGACGGAACACACTCGCCACTCGGCAGGCAGCAGACACCAGACACCGCGCGAGAGCCAGTCTTCAGGGTTCACACGCTCTTTGTGGACCCTCTGAGCCCGCTTTCCTTTGGGTGGAGCCCACACTTAGGAACGGCCTCCACAGGGACTCCGGTGAGTGGGCCAAGCCATCCCACATCCCCTATAAAGCTTGTTCAAGTGTCATTTATGTAACGTCCTATCAAAATCCCCCAACTAAACTGATACTGGTTTGTTTCTTTTTTTGAGGAAGATCAGCCCTGAGCTAACATCTGCTACCAATCCTCCTCTTTTTTTGCTGAGGAAGACTGGCCCTGAGCTAACATCCGTGCCCATCTTCCTCTACTTTATATGTGGGACGCCTACCACAGCAGGGCGTGCCAAGCAGTGCCATGCCTGCACCCAGGATCTGAACTGGCGAACCCCAGGCCGCTGAAGCGGAATGTGCGAACTTAACCGCTGTACCACCAGGCTGGCCCCTGATACTAACGGTTTTTAAAGAAAGGAAAGTATTGATGGATCCAAGCACAACACCCATCTTTCTTTCCAGGACTTAATATTGTCAATTGAATTAGCAAAGAGACACTAACATAAAACTATAATTGCAAAGCAACATTAACAGAACCTGGCATTATTTTGATAAATAGCCCATGTTAAATAGAAAATAAATTCGTTCACCAAGGTGAAGGGAAAACAACTGAGAATAAAACATATTTTATATTTATCTTTTGAAAGGCGCCCTGGCCATTTTGTCCAGCTTCGGCCACTTGCTCTCTTCCTAACGTTCATTTATTCCACAAAAACCCAAGTGCCAGTGTGCACGCACCACGGGGAGGACACCAAACCAGAATCACGGTCCTGAACCAGCCTCTTCGCTGAGCAGGTTGCGAGTTCCAACAGCAGCTCCAAGGAATATATTTTTTTTAAAAAAAAATACTCTATCCAGAGAAAAGAAATTTTATTTTACTTAGCAATTCATTTTCTGATGTTTTAATTTATAAGTGGCATAAAGGGAAATAAATACAATATTGCTGTATAAATTTGATATTCTATTAAACATTTTTAAATCATGTTAAATTTTTTCATTTCATGTACATCTGCCATTTACTCAAACCGGAGAGTGATAACATACAGAAATTTCACTGACAATACACAATATAAAATTATTCAAAGTGGTATAACAAATCACTTTTGAGAATTACTTTTATCATGTTTTCTGATAATGGCCATAAGATTAGCCTCTGTGACCAGATCGTTCTGTGTCTGTTTCTCCCTCTGCTGTTCCTTTCTTTTCTGGTCATGAAGGTAAGGAGAATTTAACAACTGGGGCGGAAGAATGGATCCTGTGGGTTTTACTCTTTTTGCAATATCCCAGAAGAGTCTTTTGGAATTGTTATTGATGAAAGTAATCGCTGTTCCATTTTGACCTAATCTCCCCACTCTTCCAATCTGAAATGAAATCAGAGGCCATTTTCAAAATGGGCAAAACCTTAATGTCTCCTGAAAGAAAAGGAAGACTAGTATTTAAAGAGGCTTTGCTAAGATTAACATTCATTCAGATAACGTTATTTTGAACTGTACATCTCAACATATTTGTGAAAGCAATCTAGTGGGCTGCCACCAGATCTTTTTTTTTGCTGAGGAAGATTGGCCCTGAGCTAACATTCGTGCCCATCTTCCTCTACTTTATATGTCGGATGCCTGTCACAGCATGGCTTGATAAGTGGTGCATAGGTCTGCACCCAGGATCTGAACCGGCAAACCCCAGGCCACTGAAGTGGAGTGTGCAAACTTAACCACTGTGCCACCAGGCCAGCCCCACCAGCAGATTTTTAATGAAACCGCTCAAATAGAAAATACGAAAGTGATCACATACAATAAAAGTTAGTATTGTTTCTGAAACATGTGTTTCAGTTACATATGTGTGTGTGTATGTGTGTGTAGGGGGGGTAATGACATAAAAGGTGGGTTAAGGTAAAAACTTTTTTTTTTTTGAGGAAGATTAGCCCTGAGCTAACATTTGCTGCCAATCCTCCTCTTTTTGCTGAGGAAGACTGGCCCTGAGCTAACATCCGTGCCCATCTTCCTCCACTTTATATGTGGGATGCCTACCACAGCATGGCTTGACAAGTAGTGCCATGTCCACACCCGGGATCCAAACCGGCGAACCCCGGGCCGCCGAAGCAGAACGTGGAAACTTAACCGCTGCGCCACCGGGCCAGCCCAGGTAAAAACTTTTTTAAAGCAACTGCATTAAGGGCAAAAGGACCATTTGCTTTAGAGCACTCAAGTGCTGTGAAACGTGGGATTTAAGCAAATCCATCTTTGCATAGTTATTTCCCATTTTGACAGAAATAAATGGACACTAATTTGTGATGGAGACACCTGAAAAGGAACAAAATTTACTTGTCTCCAAATATACTGAGAAGCTCTTCAGAAGGCGGGGAATACACAACCGCGGTCACTTTCTGCTCCTTAACTGAAATGTAGAACTTGAAGTCTATATTCAGAGTATTTAAATGAATAGATGGTTCCTGACAATATACAGGACTTTTCAAACGTTGTCAAAGGAGGAAACATCAAAAAAGAGTGGAAAGCGGGGGCCCCTAGGGAATGAGATTGTGCAGAAGAAGGGGAGGGAAGGGAACCCTGGTTTTCATTATCAGCTTTTACTTTTACCTGATTTATTTAATTATGTTCCTGAATTGTTCCAATAAAACTGTAAATTAACATAAAAACAGCTGCAACTCACAGGAGAAAATATTTGCAAATCACGTATCTGATAAGGGGCTTCTAGAATATACAAAGGATTTTTACAACTCAATAATAAACGGACAACCCAACTGAAAAAATGGCCAAAGGATTTAACCAGACATTTCTCCAAAGAAGACACACAAATGGCCAGTAAGTACGTGAAATGATGTTCAGCGTCATCTGACATCAGGGAAACGCAAATCAGAACACAAGGAGATGCCACCTCACACCCATCAGCATGGCTATAACTGAAAAGATAAACAATATAAGTGTCGATGAGGATGTGGAGAAATTGGAACCTTTATCTGTTGCTGGTAAGAATGTAAAACACTGAAGCCGCATGGGAAAACAGTCTGGTGGCTCCTCAAAATGTTAAAAACAGAGTTAGCATGTGCGCCAGCAATTCCATTCCTAGGTGATGCCAAATAGAAATGAAAACGTATGTCCACACAAAAACTTGTACATGATGCTCATAGCAGCACTGTTCACGGTACCCAAAAAGTGCCAAGAGCCTAAATGTCTAGCAATGAATAAATGGAAAACAAAGGCGCCGCGTCCTTACAAAGGAGCATTAGGCAGTAAGAGAAACGAGGCAGTGATACCTACTACAACACGGGTGAACCCTGAAACCACGGTGCTAAGGGAAAGAAGTCACAGGAGACTCCGTCCTGTGTGATCCCACTTACACGAAACGTCCAGAAGACAGAACTGCTGGAGACAGAAAGCAGGGCAGTGGCTGCTTAGGGTTGAGCGTGTGCGTCTCTGTGTGACGAGGAATGGGGGGTGGCTGCTGATGGCATGCAGACGGAGTTACTCTTTGGGGTGATGAAAATTGTCTAAAACTGACTGCAGTGATGGTTGCCCAGCTCTATGAATGTACTAAAAACCACGGAAGTGTACACTTTAACCCGGTGAATTGTAGAGTGCGTGAATTATATCCACGGAGACATACTTTATATCGGGATATTTTATACTGAGATAGAAGGCTGTTAAAAAAAAATAATAGCAGTAGTCTCCAAACTCTAAAGGACAGCTGACGTTCACAAATATCAAACTACTTCCTCAGAGGCTCCCCACCCCCAAAATTAAAAAGCAGACACATGGAAACCCTATTATAACGTAAAATACACATATCCTTTGACTTAGCAGGTCTGCTACTAGGAATTGACCTCACCGATGTACTTGCACGAGAGGCACAAAGAGCTGTGTACCTGGATGTTGGCTGCAGTGTATACTTAATAACGAAACCCTGGAAACATGGTTGTCCATCAGTAAAGGGTTTACCAAATAAATTACAGTACCTCCACACAACACGTTACTGTGCAGCCATTAAAACAGAGCAAGCCAGACCAAACATGTGAAAACACTTAAAGAGCATAGAAAGCACCTGGCCATACAGTAAGCTCTCGATACATCTTAACATTTATTAACTGGTACGTATGATGGATGCTGATAAGGAAAGGTGTCTAAGATGTATTTAATAAAGAAAGCAAGGTACAGAACAGTTGGTACAACACGGTCCCATTTATGCAAAAAGCGTTAACAGGGTGTGCACATATGTGTGTATATATGAATACGTATGCATTTATATTTTCTGCACCATTAACTGTGGTAGCCACTGAAAGGTAGCACGGCCACCTTACAAAGACTTACTTTTCATTTTGTATCTTTTGTTATTTGCATTATTTGCTACTGTGTGTATGTCCTTCAGTTAGGGAAACAAACAACAAACATCCAGATACAGACTAGAAAAGCAGAAGGATCTGGGGCCATTCTGGGCAGAGGGGAGAAACTATATATGCCATCAGCCCCCGAGGCCACTGCTGTGTCAGAGCACAGTACAGGGAGGAGAGCAGAGCCATGGGCTCGCCCTCGGGGTAGCGAGGAAAGACGAGATCATTATAATCAGCACACTACTTAAGAAGCAAAGAAGCTTCTTGCCTATTTTAATATTTTAGAAAGATTTCCATCCAGAATTATTAAAAGTTTGACAGAAAATAAACGTCAGTTATTTGAACAATCAATGCCTGTGGAATACTCAATTCCCTGATGCACAGGGAAATGAGACGGTACCAAAAAAAAAAGAGAGAGAGAGAGTGGACTGGCCTGGTGGCGCAGTGGTTAAGTGCGCACATCCCGCTTTGGCGGCCTGGGGTTCACTGGTTCGGATCCTGGGTACAGACATGGCCCCGCTTGGTAAGCCATGCTGTGGTAGGTGTCCCACATATAAAATAGAGGAAGATGGGCATGGATGTTAGCTCAGGGCCAGTCTTCCTCAGCAAAAAAAAAAAAAAAAAAAAAAAGAGGAGGATTGGCAGCAGATGTTAACTCAGGGCTAATCTTCCTCAAAAAAATAAAAGAGAGAGAGAAAGAAGTACCGGTGTATTATTATGTCTAAGTAAAAATAAAAGCAATAACGAGTTAAAAGTACTAAAAGCGTTTCAGTGGTGGCCCAGGGAATGTGGTATTCAGAGGCAACTCTGAGAACACCGGAGAAAGGCTCCCCGTGGAGAGCGTGTAAGTGATGCTGGAGAAGGAAGACGGGCACCGTGGGTGAGATAACGCGGCGCTGAGAGGAGCCTCTTTTTTCTGCTAGAAAGGAGAGCTACTGTTATCTCTGGTTGTGAAAAAAGGAACAAAACTGTAAAGGTTGAAAGACCAGAACAAGTAAGGATATGAAGAGGAGATGGGGACAAGATTCCTAAAAACACAAATACTTTCACGGGTCAATTTTATTTTGGCCAGTTACATGAACTTTGTAAAACAAAGCCTCTTTTTTTCGGATTATAAAAGCCATTTAATATGCTCAGGGAAGAAAAGAAATATAAAGGAAACAAAAATAAACCCCAAATGAGCCACTTAAAATTTTTTGAAACTAACATTTTAGGTTATTATTTCCAATTATCTGTGAATGCATTTTAGGCATACCTATAGATCTTAAAATTTATGTACGTATATATTTTAAAAGCAAAAATATACAAAGTTTTGCGTCCATTATAAAAGCTTTTTTCTTTCTTTTTTTTTAACTTACCAGTATATCGACCACGCCTTGCCCAAGACTGCTGGTGGCCGCACGTCGGTCTTACCTGATGCACGTACTCGTCCATGCTGGATGGCATGTCGAAATTCACGACCAGCTTCACGCTGACCAAGTCCAGGCCGCGTCCCAGGACCCCGGTGCTCACGACGACTTCATAGTCTCCCTCCAGCAGTCCCTTTCCAGGAAAGCAACAAAATTCATTATTCAGAATTTATCTTAGGTGATTTTATGTCATTTACGTATCTTTTTTTTCTCCCAGTACTTTCTTCTATTTTGTTGTTGCGATATCTTTTCAGTGTGTACGGGGTCTCTGTACACCTCAGAAACGTATGTAGCTTAAGGTCCTCCCAACGCGCCCCCACCCCCCCAGCCCCTGAATTTTTTCTATTAATTCACTTGGGCAAACCGTTTCCAAAGGTGAGCTCCTGCTCAGCCCCAGCTCACAGCGACCTGATTTCAGAAACGGCGGGTTCGGAATTAGGAGGCCGTCAGTGGGTCCCCAGGGGACAGGTTTACTGCTCCCAAAACACAGACGCCCGGGCAAGAGGCACAAGGAACTTCGCGGGGGCTGCTCTGAAGCTCACGCAGTCGTTAAAACCAGGTCTGCTCTAAAGACCAGCGGGTAATAGGGCATCTCTCGAAAATAAGGCAAAACAGGTTTGGAGGAAGGATGAGAAGAGAGGTGCTGCGTGTCAAACCTTCAGGATGTTTCTCCTCTCTGTCTGCGATTTCTCCGAATGTATAGACACGCTTTTCAGACCTGTGACTTTCTGAACTGCTTCGCTCAGCAGATCTGCCCCCAGTTTGCAGTCCACAAACACTAACACTGGAGGCTTAAAGAGTTTCTTATCCTGGAAAATTAAAAACACGCATTTAAAATTGTTCATACGACATAATTTACAATGGGGAGTTTTTCCAAAAGCATTAGTATAAGCCCATTACCAATCAATTTATAAATACTGTTAAGGAGAAAAAAAGGCATATTCTGCTAAAATGAGTATTTTCTTTAAAATACGCACAAACATAAGCCAAACTGTCTACTGCCCTTCCCAGTTCTCTATCTCTATCTCTATATTGCAAAAATAATTTTTAAATTTTAAGTGCAATTTAAGATTTTCAATACTGTTCACAGTCAATACAAACCATATTTACCTTAACACCATATTTTTAACTATCCTTGCACATTATCACCCACTTAACAAATTTCTGTTTAAGCTGGTTACTGTTAAAAAATTCAATGTCTCAAGGTAGTATACAGCCAAGAAAGAACTTGTCCTCACCTTAGATATATAACACTATTAAAAATTTTTGAAACAAAAAAAATATTCTTAAGGAATAATCTTGATATTTAAGTGTTTTTCTATAACAAAGAAAAGAAAAAGCTACTCTGCATCTATACAGCATGTTTTTACAAATAAAAATTTATTTGATTCTCACAGAGTTCTGAGGGAGGTAAAGCAATTTTTTTTTTTTTTGGCTGGGACACAGTCGCCCTGAGCTGACATCTGTTGCCAATCTTCCTCTTTTTTTTTTTCCCTCCCCAAAGCCCTAGTACATAGTTGTATATATTAGTTGCAAGTCCTTCTAGTTTTTCTATGTGAGTCAGTGCCACAGCATGGCTACTGACTGACGGGTGGTGTGGTTCTGTGCCCGGGAACCGAACCTGGGGCGCCGAAGCAGTGAGGGCCCCAAACTTCAACCACTAGGCCATCAGGGCTGACTCTGGTAATTTATTAAGTATCTATACCAAATTGCCCCAAAGCTGCATCTAAAAACCACTCTCCTGGGGCCAGCCCAGTGGTGTGGTAGTTAAGTCTGTGCACTCCACTTCAGCAGCCTGGGGTTCATAGGTTCAGATCCCAGGCATGGACCTAGCACTGCTCATCAAGCCATGCTGTGGCAGCATCCCACATAAATAGAGGAAGATGGGCACAGATGTTAGTTCAGCAACAATCTTCCTCAAGCAAAAAGAGGAAGATTGGCAACAGATGTTCGCTCAGGGCCAATCTTCCTCAGCAAAAACAAAAAACAAAAAAAAGGCCACACCCCAAAAATCCCACTATTTTCTTAAGAACTGTGAAAAATGCAAACACAATTTACAAAACAGGGTTGCCAGCTTGACTACTCACATTTAAGATTTCAAATAATTTTTTCTTTTTGGCTGGTTCCTCTATCCACAAAATAATCTGACGCACACTGGAACACGGCAGGTTCTTTTCTCCGGTGACGATCCTCACAGGGTTGTGCAGAAGCTGGCCTGCGAGTTGCTCTATGCTGGTTGGAATTGTAGCGGAAACCAAAATGGTCTGACAATCCTGAGGCACGTTTTCCAAGACGTCAAGCACCTGCTGTTGAAAGCCCATCTTTAACATGGTGTCGGCCTAAAATAAAATCACTTTAAGGTTAGTCCTTCTTGATACTAAAACCCAGAGAAGGCTGATATAATTGAGAACATAAAAAAATTAAGAATTCCTACCCAGAAAAATATACGACAATGTCAAAAGACAAAGGCTCAACTGGGAAAAACATACACTTACATATATTGATATATGGTGTCACGATATGTTTACAACATCAAAGATTTTTATTATGGCATTATTAACAGCAGCAAAAAACCATAGACATCCTAAATAGCCATCACTACAGGGCTTGGTAAATAAATTATGGTAGATCCATAGAAGACGACACTCTGTTGTCATGACCAGTGACCAGAAAGCCATTTATTAAATGATAATGAATCACTACGAAGAGGAAAAAAGCAAAGTACAGAACACCATCACAATATGATACCATCTGCAGACGTGCTCAAGAACCATTATTACCACCTCTGGGGAGAAGCCTATGGGGGGCCATTTCATTTTTCATAGCTTTTTGCAAAGTTTGGGTTTTTTTTTTACCATGGACATCTATTTATAAAAAAGTATTTAAAAAAATTAGTGTTGGGGGCTGGCCCCATGGCTGAGTGGTTAAGTTCTCGTGCTCTGCTTCAGTGGCCCAGGGTTTCACCGGTTTGGATCCTGGGCGTGGACATGGCACCGCTCATCAGGCCACGCTGAGGCAGCGTCCCACATGCCACAACTAGAAGGACCCACAACTAAAAATACACAACTATGTAATGGGGAGCTTTGGGAGAAACAGGAAAAATAAATAAAATCTTTAAAAAAATAAGTGTTGGCTTTCACTTCTGTATCTACTTCTGCACTGCTGGGGGGTTTTTTTTGTCTTTTTTTTTTTGAGTAAGATCAGCCCTGAGCTAACTACTGCCAGTCCTCCTCTTTTTTTGCTGAGGAAGACTGGCCCTGAGCTAACATCCGTGCCCATCTTCCTCTACTTTATATGTGGGACGCCTATCACAGCATGGCTTGCCAAGCGGTGCCATGTCCAAACCCGGGATCCAAACCGGCGAACCCCGGGCCACCGAAGCAGAACGTGTGAACTTAACCGCTGTGCCACTGGGCCGGCCCCTGCACTGCCGGTTTTTAAAAACAGTGAATGTATTACTAAGTAAACAGAAAAAAGAATTTTAAGTTTGTGCTGCTTTAAAATAACAAAAGATTGAGGCTATCTTCATTTTCAAACATAATCTGGGTGTCTATTATTTTGGAAAATAAGATATTTAATTATTTTAGACTATTTAGACTCAGGCACTGCATTTTTAAGAGTCCACTAACGTACTGTCTGATTTAAGTTTGAACACTCATTTGAATATTCTTCTTCTATGACATTTAAAAACTCTACAGCAATCACGATGGTCTGGGTTTGATCCTGGCTCCGTATCGATGACCTTAAGCAAGTTCAGGGATGGTTTTCAGCCTTTGTCTTTCCCTTTATAAACGAGGACGACAACAGTTAACTAGTTCATGGGGCTGATACGAGGATTAATGAGACAAAGTACCTACAACACTGGGGACAGCGCCCCCAGCACGGGCCGTCTCAGCCAGTGCTCCAGTTGGCTACGAGCCATCGAGAACACACACGCACACACGTGTGCACACACACACGCACGGTACCCACGTTTCCTCAATAATCCCACCACGCCCCACTCATCGAGTCCATGGCCTTGCTCTGCTGCTTGAGAGAAAGTACAGACCATTGGGAATAAATCCTGTCGTTTCTCTTCTCATCCGAGCTCCTGAAGAGTTGTCTGCACCTGCTGCGTCCCCTCCCGCCCTCTCTGTTCAGTCCAGGGTCTCCGCCCCCTCACCCGGCTGCAACTGCACACATCCTCTTTCAGGTCATCTGTCACTCCCAGAGCGTCAAATCCAACAGCCATCCATTGGTCTATCTCGAACTCTTTTTAAGATGCAATTTTTATTACTATTTCTATAACATAAGTAATACGCTCACTATAGAATACTCGGTAAACAAACAAGGTATAAAGAACGGAACAGGGGTCCCCTATTATCCCGTAACCCAGACACCGCCCCTACCTCGCTCCCTTCCAGTCTCCTAAATGAGGTCTGCGAGTCCCTCGTGCCCACCCCATAGCCACCGCCCAGGCTCAGACCCCCTCCGTCCTGGGAACCAGCTTCCCTGCTCACAGGCTCCTCTGCACATCAGGAATAAGAGTCTGATCACGGCACGCTCCTGCCTACAGTCCTTCGGGGCTCCCACCGTCTACAGAACAAAGGCTGAACTCTCAGGGCCTCTCAGAAACCACGCGCGGGTGAAAACGGAAAAGAAATGAATAAGTATGGTTATTTTAAGGTGCGAGGAATATGATGCTTTTCCCCCTTATTTCCAACCCGTCTTTAACGTGCATGGATTACTCATAGAACATGGTTGTCATTCAAACTGCAAAATGAGCCACAAATAGCATTTTTTTAAACCCACAAAACAGGACAGAATAGAAAATATCAGAATAGAAAAATTGCATGTGGTAGGTATTGTCCCATGAAACTTCTTTTCATTTGTACAAACAGACACACACATGCTGTTCACGTACTGGGTCTAAAGTGTATGGTTCAAAAGCCACGATGAATCAGGGCCGGCCTGGTGGTGCAGTGGTTAAGGGCGCACGCTCTGCTTCGGCAGCGTAAGGTTTTTGCCGGTTCGGATCCTGGGTGTGGACATGGCACTGCTCGTCAAGCCATGCTGTGGCAGACATCCCACATATAAAGTAGAGGAAGATGGGCACGGATGTTAGCTCAGGGCCAATCTTCCTCAAAAAAAAAAAACCCAAAAATAGAAAAAAAAAAGTACTACATAAATATATAGTGTTTCAAATATTAGAAGCACTCACAATGAAAACAAAGCCACTTTAGAAACACGAGAGTCCACAGCGGGAGGAAAAGCCAGGACTCCGGTAACATTAAGGGGTAAACAGAGTCAGAGGTAAGAACAGAGGGAGAGGTTAGCACAGGTGACCTCTAATTAAAAACACACGTGGCCAAGCTTTTCTGGGAAACGTTCTGTTTTCAGTGCTGCCTACACTTCACTGCTCGTGACGTCCTTAGTCCCCGAGAATCCGGCTTCCGTCTGTGCCACCAAAACCTCCGTGAAGGTCCCCAGCTCAGCGCTCCCTCACCCAACTCCACTGAGCAGCGAAGAGTGGCTGAAGCTCACATTTACCCAGCGTTCACCCTGCGCCAGGCTCCTTTCCACGGGCTGCACGTGTCCTCGTAACACTCCTGCGAGGGAGGCACCTCTATGACCCTGGTTTTACATGGGGAAACTGAGGCATATCACACAGGGATCCATCAGGTGTTGGAGCCCAGACGTGGACCTTGGCAATCCGGCTCCAACCACACGCCGTGAACACCAAGCTACACTGCTGTGCTCAGTGGTTAAGACACACGAAGAGACCCCACCTTTAAAGACTATGGTCTCGCAGGGAAATAGATGGGTCAAACAAAACTTACAGTATCCATACACTTGACATATGATCTATTTATTTACTTATTTTTATTCTTTTTTGGTGTGGAAGATTGGCCCTGAGCTAACTTCTGTTGCCAATCTTCCTTTCTTCTTTTTTCCCGCCCCAGAGCCCCAGTACACAGCTGTACATCACGGTTCTAAGTCCTTCTACTTGTTCTATGTGGGACGCTGCCACAGCATGGCTTGATGAGCAGTGTGTAGGTCTGCACCCAGGATCCAAGCCGGTGAACCCTGGGCTGCTGGAGCACAGCCCACGAACTTACCCACTGTGCCACCGAGCCGGCGCCTGAAATATGATATATTTAAGTTATGGCACATGACATGTTGACAGGCCCCCTTCAATTTATTTTTCTTCCCTCACTGGCTACGCCTTTCTCTTTAGATCAATCTCCACATGGTGGACAATCTCTAAGCGGTGGAGACCCCCCTGGGCTGGGTCCTAGGCCCCCTTTTACCCCCATTTACGCCCTCTCCCCAGGTAACCTCAACAAATCCTACAGTTCGAATGCCACGCGCACATCAGAGACGCCCGGGATCTCATCTGTGGCCGTAACGGCCTCTCTGAACTCAGGTGGAAGAATCCAGCTGCTGACTGAACGTCTCCACTTGGATCTCACGGGCCCTCAAACTTAACTCGCTCACAACAGAATTCTGTACTTCCTCCCTGCCAAACCCTCTCCCATTCCGGGACACGCCTCGGGAACCGGGAGCCTCGGAAACTCCCGTCTCCTCTCTCTGCTCCGTCCCCCGCCTCCAGCCCATTAACAGTCCTGTGGACACCACAACACGGCCCCAACCCAGCCCCTCCACTCCAGCTCGCCTTTGTGACTGCTCTCGCTCCCGTCGCTCCCACGCAGGAACCCACTCACCTCAAGCAACCACACAGATTCTTCTAGAATGTGAACCAGATCTTGTTACCCTTCTGCTTAAACCCTCCGGCGACTTCCCAGCGCTTAGAAGAAAGTCCGACTCCTAACCAGGGCCTAAAGCGATACGGTCCTCATCCTCGCCCACTCCTGACTTCATCCCCTACCACGCCTGCCCCACGGGCCCTCCCCCTGCCCCCAGCTCCCCCCTGCTCGGGCTTCGGCTCCTGTGCGCAGGCTGCTCTGTCTGAAATGGTCTTCCCTCCAGAGGGAGCATCGCGGGGCTGGCCCTTCATTCAGATCTCAACATGAAAGTCACCTCGGGGAGCCCTCCCCGACTACAATAGAGACGCCTCTGTCACGTCACCTCGTGTACGTCCACCTGGCACAGCTCATCTCACGTTCCTCTGCATCCTCAAAACCAAGAACACTGTCTGGGTGTAAAAAACCCTACAAAGGTACCGGATAAAGCAGCAGTCTTCAACCCTAAACGCTGAACCGGCACCTATGTGTCAGGCAGCATGCTGGTCAGCGTGTCCCAAACCTCTCTGAAGATAAGCACCACCCAGAATCAGTTTCTAGAACATTCCTGGGCTCCAACTCCGACCCACCGGATCAGAACGTCCCAGTGAGCAGCCTGGTATCTGTGACACTCGTGGAGCACGGCAGGCGAGTCTTATTAGGGGAGCTCGGGAGAACGCCGTCCTCGATTTCTGGGGGACGCAGAGAGCACAGCGTGAGAGGGCTGACAGGGTCTGCACACAGGCCGACAGAGCAGGGGACGAAGGCCCGAAGCGAGCCTGGGGAGCGAGGGAGGGCTGCCCCGTCACGGACACTGAAGGAAGAGCAGGCAGGTGGGGCGGGAGAGAATTCTAGACCACAGGACAGGCGTGCAGGAGACCAGAGGGTGACAAAGCAGATTTGCCTAATTCTAAACGAATTATCTTAATTTTCGTGCCTGACCATTCCCATGCCCCACCTCCTCCTGAAACAGCGACTACTCTCTTCGTCAGGGACAACATTCCTTCTCAGCTCCTTTCTGCTCTCTCGCCTACTTCTTTGCTCACTGACTTATCTTCCAACTCCACAGGCCAGACCCTCCACCTTGGTCCTTGTCTCTAACCTTCCTCCCTGAGAGAAACTGGTAGGTCTCACGGTTCTAATGCACTTTTTTAATTTTTTTGAGGAAGATTAGCCCTGGGCTAACATCTGCTGTCAGCCCTCCTCTTTTTGCTGAGGAAGACTGGCCCTGAGCTAACATCCATGCCCATCTTCCTCTACTTTATATGTGGGACGCCTACCACAGCATGGCGTGCCAAGCAGTGCCATGTCCGCACCCAGGATCAGAACCGGCGAACTCTCGGCCGCCGAAATGGAACGTGTGAACTTAACCACTGCACCTCCAGGCAGCCCCACGTTCTTGCCTTTATCTGAAGTATATGTGTCTTTGTCTCCGACCAGACTTAGCACCCTGGAGGCCTGAACGGTATTTAACGCTCCTTTGTGGCGCCATCCAAGCTCATCCGGAGTCGGCCCACCTGTGCCGCCTTCAGACTCAGCACCGACCGATGACACTGTTTACCAGCACTGCCCCTCTGGACCACACGGAGACGCGCCCCTTAGCCGCCGGGGGCTGGGGCCGCGCTGCGCACAGGGGCACTCGGCACACACTTGCTGCCTGAGACCTGCTTCGTGCCGAGCGAGCACTGAGGTGCCTGGGGGAAACCTTTCACCGAAGAAAACAAAAACGCGGCCGAGAGAAGCGAGCACGAATGGCACCTGACTCTAAATTCTCCGCGAGGATCTCTGCTCAGGCTCAGAGGATGGCGAGGACTTAAGAACTCGGCACACGGGCCGGGCGGCAGGAAGTCTGACGACAATCAGATGCAACAGACCAGTTCCGCCAAAGGGCCAGGCCACGAAGATGCTTCTCAAGGGGCTGAATAAGCTTTACACCTGTGTGCGACTTCTCAGTCTGTGAGACATCTTCCCAATCACTAACTCATCCTTCCACAACTCTGGACGATGAATGACCTGCCCGAGGCCTCTCAGCAGGTGGGGTGCGGGCTCATATCCTACTCTTGTGGTCTTGGCCACGTGTTCTGTCCATAGCCTCTGGCATCCTACTGCCACCCACTGGGCCACAGACAGCAGGCCAGGTTGCGATCACGGGCCAGCACCTCACACTCCACATTTCTGACCACTGCCAGGTACCACGGGCCTCTGCTCTGTCACTGCCGTGGGACCCGTGTGACAGTGGCTGCACTGTAGGCAGGAACGGCTCCCGCCCGGTCCGGGCTGGCACGTGGTTTTGTGTTCTCGTGCTTGTCTGCACAGTGGAACATCATCGAATCATAACACATTTCCTTCACCTTATTAAGCAAGCCAAAAGCAGAAAACGCCTGGCTGCTCTATGCCACACAGACAACCGCGATCACAGACCCAAACGTCCACACGGGAAAAATAAAAAAAGGTCACCCCACGAAGCATTATCAGCTACTTCCCAAATTCCTGCGGACACTTACTTGCCACGGATCCCTTGATCTTTGCAGACAAACGATGGCCAGCATCAAGTGTTCAAAAATCTTATCACTGAGCACAGAGCACTTGCTGAATTTGTTTTCTGCCAATTAGGAAGAGACAGCTGTGGTTTCATTTGAGTGCACACTACCTTAGCTAGCTGCAGTGTCACACAGGAACCAGCTTAAGAACCACTGCCGCCATTTAAAAAAAACCCTGACTTTTTCTCCTTTGGGGGAGGAATTGCGTGCATACACAATGAAGTTATATAACTATAATATGCATTTCATAACTTATATAAAATCAGCTGACTACTGTTTCTAAGCACGGCTACTTACTTCATCTACTACGACAATTTTTATCCCGCAGAGGTCTACAGCGTTCTGCTTGATTATATCCAGAAGTCGCCCTGGAGTTGCTATGATAACCTGAATAGGAGAGAAAAAGCAAATAAAAAAATCAGATAACACTCATTCATTCATTCATTCATTCTTTTTTTTTAGATGAAATCTCTTTTCATTTTCTTCTTTTTTTTTTTTTGGTGCTTGAGGAAGATTGTCCCTGAGCTAACATCCACTGCCAATCTTCCTCTACTTTGTATGTGAGATGCCGCCATAGCATGGCCGATGAGTGGAGTCAGTCCGCATCTGGGATCCGAACCCTTGAACCTGGGACACTGAACTGAAGTGCACAGAACTTTAACCACCAGGCCCTGGGGCCGGCCCCTTTCTTTCTTTCTTTCTGTACTTACTGAGCGGCTAACGTGTGCCGGACACTGTGCTGAGAACTCAGAATTCAACGATGAGTAAGTCAGGCATGGTCTCTGCTCTCAGGAAACTCACAATACAAAGGAAGAAACAGATAGATAAACGCTGGTGGGATCAGCATCATGTACGACAAAGGAAGGGATCTTTCCTGTTCCAGCTAACACAGAAACTAAAGCCTACAGGAGCTGTGGGAGGGCTCGAGGTGTGGACGGCCAGGCGGAGGGAAAGGCATCCACGTGCGTTCTGGACCCGGGAGGCCACGAGTCGGGAGGGAGGGGAGGCACAGGCCGAGCCCTGGGAACCAGGCAGGGAGCCCGGCAGGGGATGCCTCGCAGGCAGGCTGACCGCTATTTGGCTCTGTGAACAAGTGCCAAACCCTTAACCTCTGAGCTGGGCCTATTTTGTTTTTAAATTAAGAGGCTGGCACAGGGATTTCTCAGGTTGCTGAAAGCTCCTGAGGGTCTTAGAATATATTGTAGGAGTGGTTAAAGGCAGAGGCTCTTTAGTCAAGAAACTGAGGCAGGAATCTTACCCCAGCACCTAATAAGGACGTGAATCTGTTCCCTCATCCACAACACGGAAACGATAATAATCACGGTGAGGAATAAACGAGCCAGTGCCTGGCACAGAGTATAGCAGAGTCACAAACGAGCTAAGAAAGTCAACTGTATTCCACTTTTCAAGTCCACACCAACACAACGGTAAGATCGCTGAGAAGGAGAAGACGTCACGCTGCTAAGGATCTGGGTGCAGACCACTACAGGGTTCTCTCAGATACCTCAGAAACACACATGTAAGTCAATTTTAATTATTTTGAGTTGTGTTCACCCATCTACGTCATTTTTCCTCCTCTGCCAGTTTGGAAATTATAAACTTTTTTTTTTTCATTATTTTAATGCTTCCCTTGAATTTTAACCAACATACATAACGTAATAAAGTCTACAGTTAATTGACATTTTTACCTTTTTCCTAAACAATCAAGGGCAAATACCTGAACCCCAATCTCATCCATCGTGTGCTCACAGGCTGCTGTTGGCCAGTATCTTATTTCTATTTTTTTTAAGAAACCCTGCAGATTGCTCATTATTATTGGTTTTATCCAGTCGATGTTTCTGTAGATTTACCCGCGTGCTTGCCATTTTCTTGGCTCCCCAGCTTTCTCCCATCCCACACCTTCCTTTCCTTTCCGGAATCATCTCCCTTATCGGCAGGATATCTTAGTTTAGAAGTTCCCTCAGAAGGTTTACTGGTCATAAACTCTCCCGCTTTTGTTTATCTGAAAGGTCTTCATCTTGCCCTTGCCCTTCAAAGACAGCTTTGCTGAGCAGACAGACACATCCGCTGTTTTCTCTCTCTCACAGGGTGTCTGCGAGGGACACGGCCCAGTGGGGGCAGCTGCAGTGGCAGCAGAGTGAGGAAGGCTCTGCATGGGGTGCTGTGGCCGGAGGGGTGAGGAGGGCGCAAGTGGGGTCAAGAGGGGAGACTGGTTGCATACAGGAGGACCGGTCTAATGCATAGAGGAGAACGGGTGGTGGGTTCTCACTGTCAGCGTTACAAACATGGCAACAGAAAACCTAAAATGAGCCTAGTTGCGTTGCATTAGAGTTGGAAGTATCAGCAGGACTCCTGGCCTCAGACAAATGTGACACAGAAACTCCCACACTTAGATACATTCCCCGCCTCTGGTCACTGTGAGCTCCTGAAGCAACCACAGCTCGCCAGCCACGAGCCGGACCTCGAGCCCAGATGCTGCTTCTAAAGACTGTCCTCCACCCCAAGGAACCAGGCTCCCTGGAGAAAGGCAGGATTGCAGGGCCGAGGCAAGGAAAGAACGAGGTGAGCATGGACATCTTCTTCAGATAGAAAGTAAGACAGTGCTCAGAGAATGACGGGATATGATAAAAGGACACAGAAATCCACCTGAAGGTGCTTCCACTATCAAACTGAGGACAACTGGAGTATCAAAACAAATAATGACAGATTATAAACCCCGCCGCCCCCCCTTTTTTTTGGAGAGGAAGATTAGCCCTGAGCTAACATCTGTGCCCATCTTCCTCGACTTTGTATGTGCGACCCCACCACAGTGTGGCCTGATGAGCAGTGTATAGGTCTGCACCCAGGATCCAAACCTGCAAACCCTAGGCAGCCCAAGCAGAGTTCGTGAAATTAACCATTATGCCACTGGGCTGGCCCCAGATTATAACCCTTTAAATAAAATAGGGAACCACGAGTCCAGACTGATATAAAAAAATAAATGGGGGGCTGGCCCAGTGGCTCAGTGGTTAAGTGCGCACGTTCCACTTTGGCGGCCCGGAGTTCGCCAGTTTGGATCCCGGGTGTGGACATGGCACCACTTGGCAAGCCATGCTGTGGCAGGCATCCCACATATAAAGTAGAGGAAGATGGGCACGGATATGAGCTCAGGGCCGGTCTTCCTCAGCAAAAAGAGGAGGACTGGCGGCAGATGTTAGCTCAGGGCTGATCTCAAAAAAATAAAAATAAATAAATAAATGAATAAGTGGGAAGTTTGGTGAAGCATAAGAAGTTTGTGATCAGAAAGCGCTCCCCCCAAAATACTCAATACGAAGGGTAATGATAACTTTACAGTTAGTTTTCAGATAATATCATCAGTAAAAGGACAAATTGAAACTCTGTCGTCTACAGGAGGTAACGAAAAGAACAGAGCATCTCTCTGTGATACCCGGTCAAAGATACATAACTTGCATCTAATCAATTGAGGGACGTTCTTCAAAGGAAGTGGCTTATAATCCTGAAAAGTGTCAAGATGGTGAGAAAAAAGGAAAGACTGAAGATCTCTTCCACACTGAAGGGGATGAAAGCGACAGGACAATTAAATGCGGCAGACGATTCAGAACGCATCTCTTGTGCGTCCAAAGAAAGCTGATGGGGCAATGAGCAAAACGTGACGGGGCCCGAGGAGCAGCTGGTGGCAGTGCTAACTCCTGACGCATCCGGTGTGTCCACGTCCGCTTCCTGACTCTGCAGCTGTATTGTGGTTCTGTGGGATAAGGTCCCTGTTTGCAGGAATCGTTCTAAAGCATATGAGCGATGGATCCTTAGATAAATCCCAGCTTTCAGAGACTCAACTTTTCAACCCTAAAAGATGGGATACACCAACCCGCCTCCAAGAGCAGAGGTGCTGATGAACTGTGAGAATGTGCGTGAGAACACGTGTCAGCGAATGGCACACACCAGGCACTCAGTAAGCTCTGCTCCTGGCATTTCCTATAAGCATCAAGCTTAAAAATTAAGGCTTACTTCGCAAGAATTTTAAGGCCACTTAAAAATCACACTCATAAGTTTCTCAAGGAAAAAAATGAACTCGTTCCCACATTGCGAACAGCAGCCTGCAAGGGCATCCTCCGGAACGGGCGCCTACCTTGACATGCTGTCGCAGCCGGTGGAGCTGAGGGGGGAGCGGCAGGCCCCCCACCAGCAGCACGGTCTTCATGCGCGGCAGCCCGGTCATCAGCTCCTTGGCCTGTCTCTCTATCTGGATGGCTAACTCTCTCGTTGGTGTCAGAATGAGGGCAGCGGGGGTCTTGCTCTGCAGAGATGTGAAAAACGAGTCTAAAAACACGAGCCATCAACTCCTGCCGATATGGACCGAATCTTGACAGCGAGTCCAGGAGCCTTTCCCTCTGAGAGCATCCCCACCAGCCCTGCTGGATGGCAGCCCTCCCGCCTTCTGCTCACTGCCAATTTCTCCTCCAAAAGCCATCACAAATTGAACCCATTTCTTATACAACAGAGATACACACGACAGATCCAAAGTGGGACCAGGGAGAGGCAAGCGCAGTCACCGAGGGGGGACAACTGAAGGTTTCCTCCGAGTGGATGCGACCCTGCAGGCTCCAGCCATCCTTCTCCAAGAGAAAACCCGCTCATCACTGAGAACAGGCGGTTAAAGCTGGCATTCTACCCTGGGTTTGCCTCTCAGCTCTCTTTGTGTGTTCACTCCTTTCTCTGTCCAAATTACTTCCTTATATAAATACCCATTTCCTGCCCGATAGCTCTATTTTGGTCCTCCAGTTGAGTTTCACCTATATTTCGAACATCTGCGGCTTTCTTCCATTTTTTTCTCTCATTTTATCTTCTACCACTCTTCAGTTTCCCAAATCCTCCTCCTTTAGCTCTTCTCTCTGCCTACATTTTTCTTATTTCCCTCCCCGCCATTCTTCATACCCCACGAGCTCACCAGTGCTTGACATGCAATCACCCAAAATGTCTCTTAAGCTAATCATAACTGGGAGGGTTTCAGACATGGTAACCTCACAAGTAAGGGGAGGCAGTATCATCTGAAGACGAACCGTGGATGACATTTAAGGGTCTATTCTGAAACTCCACGGCAGTGTTCCAACTTTGGTATAAATCGGGTTTTTCAAAACACAAAATGCAAGGAAACTAAACTGACACCGAAAAACTGCAGCTCGTCTGGTCAGCAGGAGTTTTTTTCCCCCCAAATTAAAAGCTTATTCCTCGAACAGAAAATTTGTTAGACGGAAAACATTTCGTAGGGAAAGCAATTTTTGAGACCTTCAATGAAGATCTTTGGTGCCACACAATAAAAGAATTCCCTGCAATTATGTTTTCCACACAAACGCCTATCAGAGGCAAAATCTCTAGGAACACTAGGGACTAAAATTCTAAATGTCGTGTTTCAGGTTGCAATTGGAAGACAGTTAAGGACGAAACCTGGTAAACAGCTCGCCTGTTTCTGAGAATAATGCAGGGGAAGTCTAACGTACCTCCAACAGAGCTCGGAGGATGACAGGAAGCAGGAACGCGGCCGTTTTTCCCGAGCCGGTGTCCGCACTGGCCAGGATGTCCCTACCCAGCAGGCCCACGGGGACCATCTGCATCTGGATGGGGGTGGGGACCTCGTAGCCTGCTTCCTTCAAGTTGTGATTTAAGGCCTCAGGGAAGCCACAATGCTCAAAGTCAATGATGGGCCTGGGGACGTCTCGCCCTTGAACTACAATTCCCAGCTGCCGTTTAAGATTTTCAATCTGGTCCCCCTGCAGGTTCGAAATGAAGGGGTGCTCTTTGTAGACGTAACCTGCCTGTGGTAGAGACGCTGGCTCAGAGTCGGCTCCCTGGGGCCCGCCGAGTTTTAACTTCTCTTCCTCTTCCTGCACCGTCAGGAGATGTCTCGCCTTGCACTCCAGACTACACACGTCCTCGTCCGTCCTGTCGCAGATGTACTCTCCGTACCGGCCGCAGACCACACAGACAGGCTCCCCGGGCTCTGCCCAGCGCTGGGTTTTGGAAAATGACTTAACAGGCTCTTCGGAAAGGCCGCTGTCCTTTGCGCCCTGCCCAGGTCCAGCCACACCGACCTTGGCCATCGGGCCCGCTGGACCCGGGGAGGGGCATGGCGCGGGGCGGGGCCCGTCTGGCGTGGCCACTGCACCATCCACTGGACCCTCTCGGCCTTCATCCAACTGAAGGTCTTCTGCTTCTGGTTTAACTCTCTTAGCCGCCCAACTTTTGCCATCATCATTAGCATTCCTCTTGACTTTGAGAGATCTTGGGACAAACATCCTTCAAAACTCTGTTGAAGAAAATACATAAAGAGATTTATTTTACCCTCAATAATGTTTACCCATAAGGTACCATCTGGTCACCATGGAGGCAGCCTGGCGTCCCCGGGCTTTCCCGGAAGGGGTAGAGATGGCACCAGGACACCACTTTCATCCAGCTCTCCTTCCATGCTCCTCTTTCCTTTGGTGACAACAGAGTCCTCCTCACACACAGGGGTGAACAGCGCACACCGCCCAGCACAGCCTGACTGCGCACACGGCCTGCTTCTGCACACTGGCCACGCACCCTTGGAAAGCCAGATATTACGGAAATTCCGGAGTAAATCCTTATATGACACTTCACAAGAGAAAACAGGAGGGATGCTGCACAAATGGAATCTTTCGAGTCAAAACCACAAAGCAGAGCGAAAAATGCTGGTGTGACACACTAAGTACCGTTTGCATGGTGCTTATGTCCCACTACAGGGCTGGGGGCTTCCCGCTGGCTCCTAAGCAGGGTACCACGACCCCCCGTACAGACAGACGCACGGATGCACTTTATTGCTGGATGGTGCAGTGTAGACTCATTTTCACACGAGCACGCGCAGCCCCCGGGGGGGAAGCGACCCGTCCAAGCGCACACCATTCTCACCCCCAGAGAGCGGGCTGGAGCCAGGGCCACACCCATTCACGCCCAAAACGTGTTTTTGCAAAGTGAAAGTGGGAAAGCAGCATTTAACCTAATTGGGGGACTATCGCATATAAACATTCTTCTTAAAAAAAATTAATTCTTAGGATAAATTGTCAGAGTCCATTCTTCCGGGAAAATCCCAACAAAAATGCAACTGAGGGTCTGCAATCACTATCCAGTCTCCCCAAATCCCAAAATAAGGGGAGCGGGCCAGGGCCGGCTCCGTGTAAGCGGGAAGCGCCAGGAACCGAGTCCTCAGCCGGTGAACCCGCTCGGGAACTAGGGGGGCAGGCGGCGGCGACCCCCATTCCCACCCACGCCCCGACGCCCGCCGTCGCCCCACCCCGACCCCCCCAGCGCCCCGGCCCACCCCCGCTCGGGCGTCGCCCCGCACCCGCCCGGCAGCCGCACCCGGGCGCGTGACGTCACGGCGCTGCTAGGAGACGGGGGCGGGGCGACGGCGGGGTGGGAGGGGGCCTGCAGGGGGGGTGCCGCCCTCGGCGCGGCCCGGCGCCCGCGGCCAGGGGAGAGGCCGCAGACTCACCGCGCAGGCCCGGGCCGGTCCGCTCCGCGCGGGCCGCTCCTCCTCCAGCGCGGGGCCGGGCTTCCTGACGACCCCCCCGACGGCTGGGCGGCACTCCGGCGTGCCCCGGCGGCGGAGCGCGGAGTCCACTTGTCCGGGTTTTGGGAGCTGGCGCGGCGCGGAAGGCGGAGCCCCGCGGGGGCGGAGCCCGGCTGGGAGCGGTGGCGGGAGGGGCGTGGCCGGAAGTCCGCGTTGGCCACGCCCCCCGCCCCGCGCCGGCTGGAGGTAAAGCCCGGAGCCCGGGGCGGCTGGGCCGGGTCTGCAGGGACGGGAGGTTTGGGATCCTCCGGGAAGGATCGACGTAACCGAGTGGGCCGGGACTGGGGAAAAAGAGTCAGACGGCCCGGAAGGAAGCAGGCGGGGCGCGGGGCCTGGTGCACTCGGAAAGTGGGACGTCTGAGTGTGAAAGGGAGGGCAGGGGCCTGCAAACCCATTCTGCCTGGAGCTGGCAGAACAGCTGTCAAATTAACCGGAGTAGGTTTAATGCGGCTTATTGGGTAGAGTGGATGATGCTCGCACATCGCCACACCAGACCCCACCCCCAAAGGAGAATAACCCAAGTCCCGGCTCTCGGTCCGGTGGCTTGTCCCTTCTCTGCTCTCCGGCCTCTGGAGCCCCGAGCCCCAGGCAGCTTGCGGTGGAGAAGGGATGGGGATGGGGGAGGGCAGAGGCTGACGACTTCAAGTACTGTCTTAAGGGTTTTAGGATATTTTCAGTCTAATATGTGACGCCTGCAAAATAATATAATGAACAAGTGTGTACATTTTAAAGCACGCTGAGAAAACGGAAGGCTGTGACTCCGCCAGGTTACCAACATTACGCAGAGGTGCGTGCACCTGCCGGGTTCTGCCTCTTGCTTCTTCCCTCACCCCCGCCCCACCCCGCTACCCCGAGTTCTGTCTCTCCTTGTCATTTTTAGTAAGTACCTTTATCATAGTTGGATGCATTCCTGAAGAATATGTTGTTGTCTTTCTTCCTTTTGAGCTTTATAAAAATAGCGTAACATATATAGCCTTATGGGATTTGCTTTTATCCTCAAGCGTTTGTTTCTTCGACTCATCTATGTTGTTAAGAGTAAACAAGCGATAGAATGTTTATTTTCACCGCTGTAATATTGTGTGTCCGTCAAGTCCTTTATGTATAGTTCTGTTTCGTTTTTTTTTTTTTTTTTGAGGAAGATCAGCCCTGAGCTAACATCTGCCAATCCTCCTCTTTTTGCCAAAGAAGACTGGCCCTGAGCTAACATCCGTGCCCTTCTTCCTCTACTTGTATATGTGGGATGCCTACCACAGCATGGCTTGACAAGTGGTGCCATGTCCATACCTGGGATCCGAACCGGTGAACCCGGGCTGCCCGAGTGGAACGTCGGAACTTAACCGCTACGCCACCGGGCGGCCCGTGTGTATCGTTCTTTATCCGTTTTCCACTTGAGTTGTCGCCAGTGTTTCGTTATAATTAGAGGCAAATATAGGACGAAACTAATGAAATTTAAGCTTCAGGACCCGCCGTGGGTTCTTTCCAGAGCCCTAAAAGAGGAGTCTTGCAGTGTGTTCATGTGGACGCATATTTTTGTAAAATCGGCAAAAGAAAGAGATTTAAACCAGGATGGAGTAGGACCACCTTCTCTTTCCTCTATGGCTTCCCTTCCTTTGACGCTTCTCAAATTGGGTGGTGGTGGATGGCTGCAGGCACTTGGGAATGGAGCCGAGGCTGGTTGAGCTCCGGACGTATTTTCTTTGAGTTCATTGAGTGTCTTTATGAGGTTTGCAGTCTGTTCATGTTAAGCTCTTGCTTTTCACCCCAGAGCAGGAAAGTGCAGACAGAGATCGTATCAGGATGTGAGGAGTGTGGCCTGCAGGATCCCGCGCTGGGGGTATCAGCGTGGTGGGGGGATGTAGTTTGACATGTAGGGAGCTAGAGGCTAGTCTGTGAAATTCATTAGGTGCATAAACTCATAAGCAGAGGCTCCAATTCTGACCAATGCCTGGGCAAGTGGAACTTCTTTCCCATCAGGAATGTATTCATGATTACATGATGATTCTAAGTGCACTTCACACTTTTTCTTGATTGATGCGAATCTCACAAAGTAACATTTATCAGACTCCCTGGGTTGGTAGGTCACAATCTATAACAAAACTACAGTGAGTTTGTCTGGATGTGAAGACACCTGCTTTTTACATCCCAAATATTAATCAAAAAAATTTTAATAAGCCAGGCTAAAAGAAAGAATTCATAATCTTTTTATTCTCTCTATAGAAAACAGTATTACAGAAATCATTGCTGTATGAAGAAGGGATGGAAGAGTACGCAGCCAGGCCAGCCCCGGTGGGCTAGGTGTTAAGTTCAGTGCACTCTGATTCAGCGGCCTGCGTTTGGTTCCCCGGTGCAGACCTACACCCCTCGTCTGTCAGTGGCCGTGCTGTGGTAGTGGCTCATATACAAAAAAACAAAGACTGGCACAGATGTTAGCTCAGGGCCACTCTTCCTCAAGCAAAAAGAGGAAGATTGGCAATAGGTGTTAGCTCAGGGCCAATCTTCCTCACCAAAAAAAAATAAATAAATAAAATAAAACACACATATATATATTCTCAGTACCAATCTTTTGTCAATTGTATGTGTTGCGAATATTTTCTCGCTGTTTATAGTATGTGTTTTCAAGTTTAAAAATTTTTTTACTTTATTAAAAAAAAATCAAACTTCAGAAAAGTTTCAGGACTAATAGAGTAGCCCCCTTTTCCACAGTTTCACTTTCCAACCCCTGTCCAAAAGTGTTAAATGGGAAATTCCAGGAGTAAACAATTCATGAGTTTTAAATCGTGATGAGTAGCGTGATGAAATCTCACGCTGTCCCACTTTGTCCCACCGGGACGTGACTCATGCCTTTGTCTGGCACATCCATGCTGTGGATGCTGCCCACCCGTCAGTCACTTAGCCATCGCGGTTATCAGATTACTGAACTAGCGCAGTACTTGTGTTCAAGGAACCCTTATTTTACTTAACGACAGCCCCAAGGCACAAGGGTAGTGACGCTGACAATTTGGCTGTGCCAGAGAAAAGCCCTAAAGTGTAAAGGTGAAATTTCTCCACTTAAGGAAAGAAAAAAATCATATGCCGAGGTTGCTAAGATCTGCGGTAACTTTTAATTACAGTATATTGTTATAATTGTTCTATTTATTATTAGTTATTGTTGATAACCTCTTACTGTACCTAATTTAGAAATGAAACTTCATCATAGGTATGTATGTATAGGAAGAAATGTAGTATATACAGGGTTCAGTACTATCCATGGTTTCAGGCGTCCACTAGGACGAGGCTGAGGAAGGGGTCCTGCACAATGAACTCCCGTATGCATGTTCTTCATATAGATTCACAGTTTGCTATATTTGTGTATAAGAGAAACTGTATATATATATCTATATCTATATATATGTATATATATTTCTGATCTATTTAAAAGTAAGTTGCAGCACGTATCTCTGTGAACAGATAGTCTCTTCTGTACCTACAGAACTGAGACAGGAACCAGCCTAAAGAGACACAGCCGTCTGCAAGGCCCCTGGCCTCACAAGATAAGGCCCCCAATCAATCGGCAAGCTGGGAGAATCGGATAGAGGCCGCCAGGATCCAAGTTCAGCAGCTTCAGGACTCTCCTGGGCTTACGACGCACCCCAGCACCCAGGAGCTGACTGAAGCTGAGCCTAGCGACATCACCACATTGAAAATCACACTCGGGGCGGAGTGCTAGCATCCTAAGCTACACGCAGGGCGTGTGGTGGCATGTAGTGCAACAGCACAAGTGCAAGAAGACAACCCCCCCCTTACAGGCCAGGACAGGGCCCTCCTCCCCAGCCTTTGCCTAATAAAAGCCTCACAATCCCACTCCATAACGAGCCAGTCATCTGCCCCTTTCCTTCCTGCACCGGCTCCCTCATCCTTGCCCTGTGCATGAGCTAATCAACTTTTACTTTTCTACTCCACTTTGTTGTCTCTCTTGATTTCCATCCTGGGGGCCAACAAGAACCCAATGTGCCGGTAACAGAACCACTTTCAAATTTAGGTAGTTTAACATTAATATAATACTCGTGTCTAATATACAGGCTATATTGACATTCCGCCATTTGTTCCACTAATGTGCTTTAGAGCAGCTTTTTTCCCCAATCCAGGATCCAGTCTAAGATCTTTTCACTCTCTCTATGGAGTCCTTTGATGAGTGAAAGTTCTTAAGTTTAATGCAGTTAAATTTGTCAGTCTTTTCTTTTGTACTTAGCAACTTCGGCATCTAGAAAATCCTTGCCCTGCCAGGGGTTGGGGGGCAGGGGGATGAGGAGCACAGAGGAATTTTCGGGCAGTGAAAGTATTCTGTATGGTACTGTAATGGTGGACACGTCATTATTCGTTTGTCCAAACCCAGAGAATGCACGACACCAAGAGGGAACCCTGATGTAAACTGCACTTTAGGGGATAATAATGAGTCAACGCAGGGTCATCCGTGCGGTGGGGGATGTTGATAATGGGGGAGGCTGTGTGTGAATGGGGCTGGGGGTCTGGGAAGTCGCTGTACCTTCTACTTAATTTTGCTGTAAACCTAAAACTGCCCTAAAAAGCGTCTATTAAAGAAAAGGTCCTTGCCTACCCCAAAGTCAGAATCGTATTTCCTAGAATTTGGGGGGAAACTTTGAAAGTTTTGTCTTTCACATTCAAATCATTAATCCGTGTGGAATTGGTCTTTGTCTGGTATGAAGCAGGGATCCGTTTGTAGGTTTTCCAGATGGCCAGCCAATGGTCCAAACACCATTTATTGCCTAAGATCCTTTCTCCAGTGATCAGCAGTGCTGTCTCTGGTCACATGTCAGGTTTCCATAAGGCATGAGTCTGGGTCCAGAGTCGGTTCCCTCTCTCTGTTTGGCTGTCTGGTTGAGAGGTGTTCTTCAGGAGTGTCTTGGCTTCTCTTGGCCCTTTGTGCTTTCATACATCTTAGAGTCAACTTCTCAGTTTCCTCGAAAAAGTCCTGATGTGCCTCTGATTGGACATGCATTAATGCTACAGGTCAGTTTGAGGGGAGAATTGATTTTACATACTGTCTTCCTATCAATTTCTCGTTATTTAGCCTCTCTTTAATGGTTTCCATAGAATTTTCTGATTTTCTCCAGAGGTGCTTGCCCATCTTTGACCAGATTTATTCCTAGATTCATTACCATTTCTATTATTATTGTAAATGGTCTCCTTTTAAAAACTTATGTTTTTGAATCATTTGCTGGTTTATAAAAATAACATTGATTTTCATATATTGATATTCTAGCCGGTTTGCTAAATGCTCTTCACGTTTCTAATAATGAATAATGTGTAGATTATTTTTGGTTTTCTGTGTAGACATCAGATGTGAAGTAATGCCAGTTCGTTTTTCCTCTTCTTTCCCTTATCTTGCTGTGCCGGCTACAATCTCCGTCCAGCGCTGGTTAAATGTGATGATAGCAGACATTCTTGTTTAGCTCCTGATTTTGAAGACTTTAATTCACATGATTCCTGATTAAGAATGATGTGTGTTCCAGGTTTTTCACATACACTTTATCAAGTTAAGCAACTTCTCTTTCATTCTGAATCTGCTAAAAGTTTTATCATGAATGAGTATTGGATTTTATCAAATGCTTTTTTCCTCTCTTTTTTAAATCTGTTGAGATCAGGAAAAGATTTTTTCTCCCCTAATCTATCAATATGAAGGGTTATATTTATAGGTTTTTCAAACCTTTACGTTCCTGAGATAAACCTAATTTGGCCATGCTATGTTATCTTTTATATACCTGATATTTTATGTTAACTTTTTGTTTAGGATTTCTAAGTTTATGTTTATAAGTGAGATTGACCCATTCTCCTTTCTCACCCTCTCTGTGCTTATGCAGTCTTCAAAAAATGAGTTGGGGGAATATCCCCCCCCCCCATTCTCTGGAATAGTTTATAGAGATTGAAATGATCTGTTTGCTGAAAGTTTGGTAGAACTCCCTATGAAATTATCTGGGCCTGGAGTCTTTTTGTATGTGTGGAAAGATTTTTACCCTTAGATTTATCATCTTTAATAGTCAAAGGACTAGTTGGCCTTTTTCATGGAATTCTTGAGTCTTGAGTCAGTTTTACTGTTGTATTTTTTAGTGTCCTTTTCGACTGTTTTCATATTTATTGTCATAAAGTTGTTCATTTTATCCATTTTTATCTTTAAAAAATATTATTATATGTAATTATGCCTCTTTTTCACTCCTGATACTTACTTGACCCTCCTCTTATTTTTGTCTTAATCTCACGGGAAAGTCTGTGTTACTGCACCGTGTTCTGAAGCATCAGCTCTGACCTTGTTGATTCTGTTGTGTGTTTGTTCTCTGTTTCACTGATTTCTGTTCTTTTTTTTTCTCTCTCTCTCTCTTCTACTCGGTTCAGATTATTCTATTGTTATTTTAATAATGTTATTGAGTTTAGCATATTCCTTTTTAACCTTTTTTTAAATTTTAATTTAAGTTTATTTCATTTTATTTTTGAGGAAGATTAGTCCTGAGCTAACATCTGCTGCCAACCCTCCTTTTTTCGCTGAGGAAGACTGGCCCTGAGCTAGCATCTGTGCCCATCTTCCTCTACTTTATATGTGGGACGCCTGCCACAGCATGGTGTGCCAAGCGATGCCATGTCCGCACCCGGGATCAGAACCGCCGAACTCCGGGCCACTGAAGCGGAACATGCAAACTTTAATTGCTGCGTCACCAGGCCAGCCCCATCTATTTTTCTAATGTAAGTATTTAAGGCTGTAAGTTTTCCTCAAATTACTACTTTGTCTGCATCCCACAAGTTTTGATACATGGTATTTTTATTCCGTTCTGGTATTTTAAAATTTCCATTATTATTTCTTCTTTAAACCATGAGTCAAAGTATTTTTAATTCAAAATATATTTATATTTATATTTTTTCATATACATTTATTGCATTGTGGCCTGAGAATAAATATGATATTAATTCTTTAAAGTTTCTTGAGACCTGCCTTATGAACTAGTCCATGGTCCGTTTTTATAACTGTTCTAAGCCAGAGAATGTTTATTTCACCAATGGATAGATAGGTGCTGTGATATATATCAAATAAATCCAGCTCGGTAGTTCAGAATTTCTACATGTTTACTAAGGTTCATGTTCACGTTTGTCCATCAGTAAGCGTCTTGCCCATTAATAGATAACCTAGACCAGTCAGTCTCCCATTATAATGCTGGATTTGTCTGTTTTTCCCTGTAGTTCCAGCAGTTTTAGTTTTGTGTATTTGGGAGCTGTTTCATTTTAGAATCAATAAGTGTAAAGCAGTTGAAGCATTAACATGCCATAGGATCTCAGATTTGGACGCAGTCACCGAGTCCCATCACAGCCACGGCCATTCTCCATGCCCGGACGGGAAGAGTGTCTTACAGCACCTGCCACACGACCAGCTGACTTGTTGAATACCTTTAAAGACGGTGAGCTTCCTACCTTCCACGGCAGCCCAGTTCTTCACTGATTATAATTACCATTTAATTAGATTCTCTCTAAGGCCAGGCAACAGGCAAAGTGTTTAACAAACAGCATCATGTTGAATACTCAGTATAACCTTATAAAGTAAGTATTTTATCCCCATTGTGCTAATGAAGAAACAGGGTAATTAAGCGCCTTGCACAAGGGCACACAGGTAGTGGTGGAACAGCAAGAACTTAAGCCCGGGTCTGTCTCCTAAATCCGCTCGGCTATACCACCCGGTTCTGTATGTCACGTCTAAAACCATGTCCCTTAAACTTTCAGTCAAGGGACCTGGTTCTAACCACTATTTTTAGCGTTCCCAGCACTTCCCAGTCCTTTGGAAACCTCAGAAATAACTCAAGCTAATATGTGTTCCGTAACCCTGAGCTCCTTTTGTTGGTGTTCTCCCAGAAGCTTTGGACCTTTGCCGTACACATTTACATTCTTATTGTAACTTTTGGAAAACTAGTGAGTCTCTACATGTGAGGTGCTTCATTCTTTTTTTTTTCTTCATGCTTTTTGGTGAGGAAGATTGGCCCTGAGCTAACATCTGTTGCCAATCTTCCTCTTTGTTTTTCCTTCTCCCCAGTGTCCCAGTACAGAGTTGTATACCCTAGTTCCAGGTCCTTCTGGTTCTTTTTTTGTCAGATACCGCCTCAGCATGGCTTAGTGAGCGGTGTGTAGGTACACACCCAGGATCCAAACCGGCGAAACCCAGGCCGCCGAATCAGAGTGTGCAAACTTAACCACTCAGCCATGGAGCCAGCTCCAGATGCTTCATTCTTAATGTCCAGCCTGGTAACAGAAGTAGTACAGCTCATTTCTGCATGTGAGTCAGGCTTGCTCCATGAAGCTTCCTACTTAGCCTCAAGCTCTCTGTCTTTCAGGGTTAAAAAGCCAAACCTCAGAACCACTCAGGTCTCACACGTGGCTCGGCCCCACTGTATGCTCTTTAATAAAGAGCTCAGATTCACATTGCCTCTCAGGTCTCACCAGAGCACAGCCTAATTCACCTACACCGGTATTTCTGTTTTCTTCACCGACATGGTCTTATGATGGTCTGTTAACTGTGGGGCCACAGAAGGCCTTACCTGTAGTTGTTCACATGGAAATCACAGGTGGTGTTACTAACACATTCCTTTCATGCATTATGGTCTATGGCAGGAAGGAACAGGAAAATATCCAGGGTGACTCAGTGGGACAGAGTTGTGGAATGCGTTCCTCCTACCTAACCATTCTAAGAGTTTGCCCCAAGCTGTGCGTTAGAACAGGAAATGCTGCAATGATGTGAGCTGACGTGTGTGTTCTCCTGTGCTGTTGAGACACGTACAGAAATAATGATGCCTCTCATCCTTTCATCTCAGGAGCCTCAGCCTCACACCTATTCATTTATAGCTACTCCTACTCTTTTAAGATGTGAGGCTTGGGAAACCTGGATAAGTTTACATCAAGGTGGAGAAGGAAAGCACAGATTGATAGCACTTGACCGCCATTGATGTTTTTTCCCTCGTGCCATCACAATGAATCAGACCAGAACTTGGACCCCACTACTTTCTGCCTTCAGCACCTTTTCTTGATAAGCAGTATGACGAAGGCTTCAAATTCTAATAATTGAATTACTTACTCATTCAACAGACTTATGGCATCTACCATATGGCACGCCTGGGACTATAAAGAGGATAAGAAGGACACCCTCTGCCCTCACCCAAGCTGACAGGAAAGGAGAGAAACAATTAGACGAGAAATGCTATGATGGGGATGTCGTGGGAATGTATGGGATGGTCTCATAAGCCAGACATGGGGGACCAGGGAAAGCTCTCCAGAGGAAGTGACATCTAAACTAAGATCCGAGGGCTGAGTAGGGATTGGGAAATTAAGGCAGGAGAGAGAAGAGGAGGGAAGGCCCAAGTGAGAGTCTGGCACAGCTGAGGAGCTGGAAGAAGCCAGTATCAGTCTACTTAGGTCAAGTTGTGCTGCAGTAACAAATGACCCCGAAATCTCGGTGGCATATAACAATGGAGGTTTATTTCTCCTTCATGCTGCAATGCAGAGAAAAGATTGTAGGGGGTAAAACGGAGGTAGGCGGCTGAGGCAGTAATCCAGGCTAGAGAACATGGCAGCTTGAACTCAGGAAGTGGAAGTGGGGCTACAGAGAAGCGGACAGAATCTAGAGATATATGGGAAATAGACTCGCTAGCCCTTCCTGCTTGGACACAGAGGGTGAAAGAGAGGGGTTGTGGTTGACACTCAAGTTCAACACATACTATGTAGCTTTATATTAACCACAAAACATAAGACGAAGATGAAAGCTTTATAGAGATATATTTAATACTCACAAGAGCGTGCTAAATGTTTCGTTAATTTTAGAAATGTCTTCCTACTGATCTCTGATACATCCTAGAGTTTCTGATCTCAGTGGTCAATATTATTCTTTCTATCCAAACTCCAGGCACAGGTATCTTCACAGAAGCACGTAATTCTTGACAGTAAAGTGTCTGGGACACCAAATTGGCAGATGCCCTATTAAAACTAGGTCTATGTTACAGCTCTACTTTTGTTCTGAAACTTGCGCTTGTGAAGATGTCAAGATGGATGGTTAGGAAAAAATGGCCTGGTACCAGGCTGTCAAGTCAGCTTCTGTAAACCGTCCCGAAGGGAGGGACGTACAGGTTTCATTAGATTAAACGTTGCAAAGCTGTCACTCTCTGAAGACAGCGTAGGAGAGGGAAGCCGGGTACCTGAGGGCTACTGTAGATATTCAGGAAGAACATGGTTGCCTTTTGACCTTGTTCCCAGCACGGACGTAGATGAATCTTGTCAGTTTGCTGTCATCTTGTTTAACTTGAGCGGTGACTCGGGTCTGAGGATTTATGAGCTTGTTTTGCAGAAGAAAGAGAATGCATTTGGGGAAGTTGTGATCACCAGACGGCCGGCCCCCAGCGGCCATTGCAGATTGCTCTGGGGCTTATGGGGGTGACCCCTCTGTTTCTCTGAAGCTCCTCCTGCCATGCCCCTTAGCTCTATAAAACCTCCCTGCTTTTTGCTCTGGTTAAGGTGGATTTGAGCGAACCCATGCTCCTGCCTTCTCGTCTTAGTGCACTCGAATGGGGCCTTTCTCCCTCTCCAAGCACAGATGTCTCAGTGTCTGGCTTGCTGCGCATCGGGCATACGGGCTTGGGATTAAGAGGTTCGGTATCGAGAGCTGTGACCGTTAGAACACTTAGGAACCTGCTGCCAGTGTGCCTTAATTTTCCAGAGGAAACCATGCGGTCCTGGATTCTCCCTTTCAAGATTAGGCGTGTTGCTGCGATAATAAGTTCTCCAGAGACGAAGGGAAGAGCATCTGAAGTTTTACTGGGCAGCTCGCAATTTCTCAGCAGTGGGCGCGTTGAGAGCACCAACTCAGATACTCTGTTATCTGGCAACGGCCACCTTTCCTTCGAGCTTTCCTTGTCCAGCTTCTCCCACCGTGATCATCTTTCAGTCACCCTGGGACCACGGGTCTAGTAATTTCTCTGTTTTCTCCCAGGATTTCTGCCATCTTCTGTCTTCCTTTTCTGTCTTCTCCAACTTAGATTTTGTGCTGGGAGGAGGGTTAATTTCAGCAGGCCTACAATAAGCCAGAGCTATTTCACCGAAACTAGAGATGCACCAGAATTGCACAGACCCCTGGTCGAGGCATGGAACATACTGATCCATAACATTGCTTCGTAACCAAGGGTCTGAGGAGTTGGTTCCCTAGCATCCTCCAGAGGTGACCTATGAGGGTTTGGGTTTTTTTTAAACCTCTATGAACGCAAAGATTTTAACATATTTGGTGCATTTCAGTTCATTTCACTAATTATTCTTTCTGAAGCTGAAATTGTCCCGTCTTTGACAATGGGAACCTCTTCAAGCTGACTCCTGGGTCCTTTAGACACAATCCCGTTAGGCTTTACCAGCTTCCTTACTTTCTGGTCTGATGGTCCAGGCTCAGCTTACACACTTTTGCCCCAGACCAAGAATCAGCCGTTTCTACCAGGAGCCTGGATTCCTGGGCTGTGTTGAATGGAAAAGGGTATTTAAAAGACACAGTCTAGTCATTAGGGATGCTAATTGCTACTAAATTGGTTATTGTTCCTAAGCCTTTTTAGTGGACACAGCTAAACAATCTTCTTTTTTTTATTTTTTAGGAGGAAAAAAACATTGAGGTCATTCAATTTAAATTTAGGATGGCACGATTTTTATTTAATGTCTTTGATTTTGTATTGGCATCACTTTTCTCCTACACTGAAGATCTGGGTTTCTAAAAACATTAATATAATTATTTATTTGTTATATATAGAATAGTTTCAGAGTAACAACACCAAGAGGATTGCTAAACATATGATTACTGAAAACAGTTTAAAGTGTCTTTGAATTTTTAAAAGATTCCAGGTGTATCCCACCAGGGATGTAGAGTCAAATCATTGTGTTTTCAAACCGTGTGAAATGCTGCCTTTCTGTGTGGTTAATTGATAAATCGTTACACAGGCGGGCTCATTTGTTTCGTTTTACTTTTGGTTTTTAGGAATTGCTTTTCTTTTCCATTTTGACTTAATATATAATTATATAAAACTATTACACAGTTTGAAATCAAATCTACAAAATGATGTCTATTCTGAAAAGGTGAGTTTTTATCCCTAGTCCTTCAGCCTTATTCATTACCCCCCACCACAGGTTACTTTAAAAAAAAATTTTGTCTATTCTTTCCTTTTTGAAAATATAAGCAAATATTTTGTATCTCTGCACAAATATATGCCTCTGCTTTTTAGAAAAACAGAAGCATACTCTTATCTCTTGTCTAAACACTTTTATCCGTCTTTTTTCACTTAGCAACATATCCTGGACACCACGTCATAGCAGGGTATGGAAATAGCCTGCATTTCCTCCCAGCCCTCCGCTGGGTGTTTTTACTATAGCTCCAGTCTCCTGTTGATAAATA